TACTACCTTTTTATCTTCATTATGACACAATGAAGAAAAGTTGAATTACAAGATTTCTTTAAAGTATCATATATCAAGAAAAATAATTCTAGGTGACAGAGTATTTTTTGTATGATTTTAATACTGAATTTATAACTCTCAACACTATGAGCAACCTGGCAATACTCAGAATTAAAGACGTCATAGGATGAATAAATTAGCATACAAATTAAATTACTTCTAGGTGACTATACTACATGTATATAAATTATTTGGGGGCTGGGGGGCATAGGAGGGGAAAAGTTAGCTCCCAAGCAATGCTCAGGGGCCCAGGCATATCTGATACTCATCAACGGGGCAAAATGGTGTTCAGGCCAGTAACTCAGGACTGCTGGTGCCTAAGGATACTAAAGGTCACCAGAGATCAAACTCAGGGCCTGCTGCTTGCTTTACATGGGCTCCAACCCTTTGAACTCTCTCCCTGACCCCTATTAGAATTCTTAATTAATTTTCCTGATTTGATTTAGAATACAAATACAAACATCAGGAACATTGGTTTTGCAAGATCAACCGGACTTGAAATTTTAGTAAACCCCAACCACCACTCTGAGGATCTCTGGAGTGACCCTGGGGTGGGCAGGTAGGGGGACACTGGTACCACAGGGCTGCCCTAGAATTCAACTGTCCTGCCCAGCTTCCTTTCTAGGAGTGACTTCATGCAGTGAGTCCCATGAACACTGCTTGGCTTCCATACCCCACCTTCCCCCCAAATATAAAGTTTGTTGAAAGTAATACTGTAGCATAAATACCAAACATGGTGAAGTAATATTTGATAATATGCTCAACTTAAAAGCTATGTATTAACTAGAGCATGAAAGATAGTATCAGAGTTCTCTATGCTATCTTCAGGACATTCTGGAAATAATGTGGATGCCACAGCAAATGGTCTAGCAAGAGACAAGAATCAAACCTCAAACCACATAACAAAATAGCTAATGTAATAAAGATATTCAAGCTACAGGAGATAAAATAGGAGAATAATCAGATGCCTTAAAATTCTTGCAACAAAAAGCAAATTACCATTGTTTTTAATTGCCCCCAAATGAAAAAACAATGTGCCAATGAATGTATAAAAAAACAGATTTTGGTTAAATCATTTTTCATGTTAATCTCATAAGACAATAAAAATTAGGTGAAGAATGAAGCTCAGAGATAGAGCAGTGGAATGCCATTTGAAAGGCCCTGGGTACCAAGAGAGGTGGGGGATAAAAAAAAAATAAGAGCAGAGAAATTTACATAAAAAGGAAAAAGTGAATCTAATAGACTTCGACATATTGAAAAAACTTAACAAACAATTGCCATATGAAGCGTGACACTAAACCATACAATTTTGCAATGATATATAGTCATATTAATAGCAGACTTCCACTTTTTTTATAACAAAAAAGACGATAAAGTATGGATAGTTCTGTCATACACACTTTATGAAGTATATACATATACTTATTCGCCAACGTGTCTTGGCACATGCCTCAGGCAACCACAAGCGAACATCCAAACTGGCAAAACAGTGCAGAAAAGCTATCAAGGATGACCTCAAAAACAGGAGAGCAGCAGTACTGGTAGATACGGCAGAAGCTGGGAAAAGCATTCGTAATGCCCGCCTGTCCTTCACCAACTACAAAACCAAGATGACTGCCTCCGACATCAAGATGGATCTATCACATCTTCCAGAAGGGCAATGGAGAAGATTATTCATGACTTCTACTCAGATCTCTTTAATAGCCACGTCCACTTGCCCACATACCACATGATGGATATGTCGTTCCCAATGTTCTCCCTTCCAAAATCCAACATGCCATCTCGTCGGTAAAGAAACAAAGAGCACCTGGCCCAGACAAGATCAGACCTGAACACCTGAAGAACTTACCATCAGTACTCATCAATACATTGGCTTGGCTCTTCACACGCTACCTGTCTGAATGCAAGGTTCCATCCCAATGGAAAACCAGCAAGACTGTACTACTATACAAGAAGGGAGACATCCACGACATTGGCAACTATCGCCCTATCTGCCTATTGTCTGTCATCTACAAACTGTTCACTCGAGTCATCCTGAACAGGATTAGCAGAACACTAGATGAAGGACAACCATGTGAACAAGCCGGATTCCGAAAAGGATTCAGTACCATCGACCATATCCACACGATTACTAAGCTCATTGAGGTTTCTCGGGAGTTCAAGATGCCACTCTGTCTAACGTTCATTGATTTAAAGAAGGCCTTTGATTCTGTTGAGACGGAAGCGGTCATGGAAGCACTAGCCAATCAGGGCATTCAAGCTCAATACATCAAGATCCTCTGTGAGCTGTATTGCGGATTCACTACCAAGATCTCCCCATTCTACAAAGAAGTAATCATCCATATCAAGAGAGGGGTTCAGCAGGGTGATACCATTTCACCAAAACTCTTCAGTGCCACCCTCGAGAACATCATGCGATGACTGGAATGGGAAGGAATGGGAGTGAAGATAGATGGTCGGCAACTACACCACCTCCGCTTTGCTGATGACATCGTTCTAATAACACCAAACATCAGCCAAGCGGCACAAATGCTGAACGACTTTGACCGTGAATGTGGAAAGGTCGGACTACAGCTGAATCTTACAAAGACAATGTTTATGAGAAACAGCCTTGTTCCTGACGCTCCATTTGCTCTCAATGGAACCACCATCTCCGAATGCAACAGTTATATATACCTAGGTCGAGAAATCAACATGATGAATGACCTGGCACCTGAGTTGCGCAGGAGGAAGAGAGCGGCTTGGAATGCCTTCAAGAGCGTTGAAGAAATAACTAAAAGGACAAAGAACCTCCAGCTACGAGCACATCTCTTTGATTCCACTGTTCTTCCTGCATTAACATATGCCTCAGAGACCTGGACCCTATGAAAACAGGATGAGAACTCTATTCGGGTCTCTCAAAGAGGAATCGAAAGAGCTATGCTTGGAATATCACAATTCACTCAAATGAGAGATAGAATCCGGAGTTCTGATCTTCGTCAACGCTCAAGAATCAGGGACGCTGTCTCATTTGCCAAGACATCAAAAATCAGATGGGCTGGACACGCAATGAGGTTTACAGACAACCGCTGGACTAGAGCCATTACTGATTGGATTCCACGGGACATCAAAAGATCACGTGGACGCCCACCTACAAGATGGTCAGATTTCTACGTCAAGACCCTGAATGATCGGTTTGAGGCTCTACATGTTCCTAGAATGAACAGATACCATTGGGCTACACTAGCACGCAACCGGGATGAATGGAGACGTTACTGGCACCCGCTCGAGTAAATCGATGAATAACGGGGATTAAGGGATTAAGTGATTAAGTGATAAGTGATACATATACTGTGAGTGAAAGTAAAGTTATGGCAAAATTCCAAATAAGAAAGATCGTGATTTGTTCTAGGTAGTAGTGTTGGAAGAACAGGGGGCAGAAGGCTTTTAGAAACACTTTTGAAACAGAGCTCATAGCACTTGATGACTTTCTGGAGAGATTCTTAGAATAACTGTTGACCAGAATTTACTGTGATAGCCAGATCTAATCTAGCATGAGAGTCAACAATGATGACAATTACACAGTATCTACCTTGTGCTAGGCAATGTTCTAGATATTTTACATACATGTATACAGATCCTAGATCTTTTCATAACACTACGAAGTGGATCCTATCATGCACCATTTACAGATTAGAAACAAAGGCATACATCAGTAGAGTTTGCCCACCAATAAGAAACAGTCTGAAGGTTAGATCATAGATTTCAATGGACAAAATCTCAAGGGCAAACTCTCAAGAGGCCCACTGGACAGGTGAAAAGGAAACACAAAAATCCCAGGCAGAGAGCACATAGAATGCCTAAAGTCAGAGGGAGTCAATCAAGGGAAACAGAACTACAAAGGTAAAAGAGAAATAGAATTAAACAGCACCTGTACGTGCTGATTCCCAATGTTGAAAGACAGGACCTAGGAATCATTTTTTTAAAAAGACTGAGGCAGATCCGGATATGGGTACTGCTGTAATATACCCCAAAGGTCTCTTTTTTTTTTTTCTTGAGTTGACAATCAAGTTAATACTAAATGAATTTCCCAGAAAGCAGATAAGCAGGGAAACAAGCAGACAAGCAACACCCCCCCGCCCCGCCCCCAACCTGCCCTTTACAGTCCATACAGACTGTGCTCCCATCAACTAAACCATCTCTCAGAAGGACAGGGCAGACAAAAGAAGAGTGGACAGACAAAGGAAGGGGGTGTGTGCTCCAGGGAACTTGCGGGGCAGAAGTTCACCCCCCCTTCACCCACCCCAAAACACACACATACACACACACACACACACCACGCATACCACACACAACACACGCTCAGACACACCATATTCAATACCACACCACACACACCACACACATCAGACACCTATCACACACATACCACACAGGCACACAAACACACCACTCAACAGCACACATACCACACACACGACACACAAACACACACACACCACCCATCAGACACATATCACACATATACCACATAGGCGCGCGCGCGCACACACACACACATCACACACACACCACCCATACCACACACACAGCAAACACACACCACACACATCACACACACACCACCCATACCACACACACAGCACACACACACACACACACACACATATACACCGCCCCTTCCGCCCCCGAAAATGTGTATACGTTTTCTAGGGCATTGGCAGAAGGAAACTCTCCTGACTAGACACACATGCGGTGGTGAGGCCGAACCCCTCACGACCGCGTCTGCCTCACGCTGGCCGTCAGGATCTCTCCAACGAGCTCACAAGAGACGTGGGAACCCTCTCGCGGGGGGAGGCCCGCCGGTCCGAGGCCAGGAGCCTCTGCCTCAGAAGACGTGTCCGGCTCGGCAATCACACCCTCCAGTCCCCACTCCGAGTGACGGCCGGCTCCGCGCGTACCTGAAGGTCCTCGGGTCAGATTGATCTCTTCCTCCCTGACCCAAGAGTCCACTCGTCCATTCATGTTTCCCTGCTCGTCTGGCTCCCACCTGGGTCAAGCAGGGCGCGCACAGGTGAAGGTGAGTGGAACTTGGCCAGCCGCCCGCAGCGACAGCACTTTCGGTTTCAGCGGCGTCCCCCGACCTCCGTCCCGCCCCCAGACCGGAAGAGGAAGTCCGGCCGGCGGGGAGCGCCTGGAATGCTGGGAGTCGTGGTTTCAGCCGTGCGCGTGCGGCGTTGCGCGGCGCCCGCCGCCGCTCGGTCTCAAAGGGAGGTGCGAGTTGGAGCCAAGTCCTCGGGTGGACGGAGAGGAGAGGAAGCGTCAAGGTAAGCGGGAAGCTGATACTGCCCATGGAAAGCCTAATGAAAATCTCCTGCTTTCTCAGACAATACCCACACATGACAGCTGGCAAACAAAAAAAACCCTTCATCACTTGGGAACTGTTAAACCAGATTGAGATAGTCCTCGGAGGCAAATCTACTAGCGCGGTCGCAAAATCAGAAATCTCACTCCTTCAGGTAAGCATTTGCAGGCAGATACGCCGCATTACGTGCCTGTGCTCAGGACAGAGGACTTAAACCTTTGGAGTGGCCATATGTTTTAGCTAACTAGTATTATGCAGAGGGAAAATTAAACTGTATGTATGTGGCAAGCAGGTGCTTGCAGCTTGGAGCAAGGCACACCGCTGGGAGTAGCTCCTGACAACACTGGGTGTAGTTCAAGAAGGAAGGGAGGGAGGGAGAAAGGAAAGGAAGGGAAGGAAGGAAGGAAGGAGGGAAGGAAGGAAGGGAGGGAGGGAGGGAGGAAGGAAGGAAGGAAGGAAGGAAGGAAGGAAGGAAGGAAGGAAGGAAGGAAGGAAGGAAGGAGGGAAGGAAGGAGAGGGAGGGAGGGAAGAAAGGAGGAAGGAAGGCAGTCAGGCAGGCAAAAATGATGTCAAATGATCTTATCTCAGGTTTTGGTTCCATATTTTTCTGGTTGTTTGATTTAGCACAGATAACCTAAGTCACCTGTTTCCCTGTCTGAAAAAATACAGCAGCTCTTTGAAAGATTGTTGAAAGGATCAAATAAGATGAAATTGAAAACAACTGACCTCAACTTCAAACTCAGATCTCACTTCTGATTCTCTTTGAACGGGCAGAGGTGGGAGGAGGCTAATAGTAATAAAAAGCAGAGTATAAAACATAATGACATTTCAGTATCTATTACAAACCATAATGCCCAGAAGGAGAGGGAAAGAGAGAGGGAGAGGGAGGAGGGGAAGTGGGAAGGAGAGGGAGAGGGAGATGGAGGAAGAGAGAGAGAGAGGTGCCTGCCACAGAGACAGACTGGGGGATAGTGGTGGTAGCAGGAGGGAAATTGAAGACATTAGGGGCCAGAGCAAAAGTACAGTAGATAGTTTCCCTTGCATGTTGCCTACCCGGGTTCAATCCCAGGCATCCCATATCGTGCCCCAAGCACCAGCAGGAGTAATTCCTGAGCATCATTGGCTGTGACTCAAAAAGCAAAAAAATAAAAAAGAAACTGGAGACATTGGTGGTGGGAAATGTACACTGGTGGAGGGATGGGTGTGTTGGAACACTGTATGACTGAAACCCAACCATGAATAGCTTTCTAGCTCTGTATCTCACAGTGATTCAATACAAATAATATTTTAAAAACAATATGATCCATAATAAAATAAGGTATAAGTCAGTGAAATTGGAATACCAGAGAAGAGATCAATAAAGTTGGAGAAGGGATTTAGGTATGTAGCTCAGTGTATAGTGCATGCCTCCCATATGTCAGGCTCTGGGCTTAATCATTGGCACCAAAACCAAGAAAGCAACACAAAAAGTGGGTGAGTTAGGGGAGACCGGAGAAAGAAAATTAAGCAAGCCATCCATGGTCCTGGGAGATGGCTCAAGGGGTTGGAGCATGTGCTTTGCATGCAGGAGGCCTGGAATAAATCTGTAGCACTGTATGCCCCCAGGAGCACAGCCAGGAGTAACCCTGAACAGCTTGCCAGCATTCCCTGAGTACTGCCATCTGTGGCCCAAAAGCCAAAAATAAAAAATTAAATTTTAAGAAAGATAAAATGAAAAAAGATTCATCAATGAAAAAAATGTTTCAAAACATTCTAAATAAAAGGAACATTCCAGTAGACTACTGAAGGGAGAAATCATTTCGCTGTGCCTGAAAATAGTGTCCTGTTCACCTAAGCTCCCAACTTCAAAGAAACACATAGGGTAATAAAACAAAAAGTGTCACTAAGTATATTCAGGAAATAGAGGTAATAAATGTAACTGCTGCAAAGGTCTAATTCCATTACCACTCAAGAAACAATCAAATTGGTCAAGAAATTGGGTCAAACATACAAGTGGTACAATATGGAAAGTATCATGCTAAGCGAAATGAGTCAGAAAGAGAGGGATAGACATAGAAAGATTGCATTCATCTGGGGGATATAAAGTAACAAAGTATGAGATTAATACCCAGGAATAGCTGAGATCAGCACCAGGAGGATTACTCCATAACTTAGAGGCCAGCCAGGTATCCTAGAGGAAAGGGCAGTTCAGATAGAGAAGGGAGCACCAAATAAAGGATGTTTGGAGGATCCTCCCAGGAGGGGATATGCATGTCCAAAGTAGACTATGGACTGAACATGTTTGCCACTCAATGCCTCTTTTGCAGACCACAACACCCAAAAGGAGAGAGAGAACACAGGGGATTGCCCTGCCACAGAGACAGGGGGGATGGGGGGATGGGGGTGGGAGGGATATTATCCATGGTGGTGGAAAATGGGCACTGGTGGAGGGATGGGTATCTGATCATTGTATAATTGAAACCAAAGCACAAAAAATTGTAAATCTACAACTTAAAAAATAAAATAAAATAAAGGGGAAAAAAGAAAGAAAGAAATTGGGTCAAGAAAGCTTGTTTAGGGGTCAAAGATATGGTCTAGCAGGAAGGGTGCTTGCTTTGCATGCAAGCTGAGCCTGGTTGGATGCCTGGCTCTGCACTATCCACCAGCAACTCTAGAAGCGAAGCCCAGAATGAGGTCTAGAATAGCCTTTAGTATCCCAGATAAAGCCCTAAAACCCTAACCTCCCCTTCCCCTCACCTGCCCCCCCCCCAAAAAAAATCAAGCTTGTGCATTCGTACCAAGATGACAGAATGGAAGATGGACTCATGCCCTTAAAGCAACCACACTTAGGGTCATGGGAAAACATTTTCTGGTGGCAAACTAGTGGGTATCCAGAAAGACTAAAATCCCTTTGGGGATGGTTTCCTGAGGTACACTGTGTTATCTCCAAATCAAGAGAAAGTAATGATTAGACTTAAAGGAAAGGACAGAATGAGGAAGACTGAGAACAAGTTGTCCTTTAGTCATTGGGGCAAGGACAGCGTCTTTATCTAACACTGATTCTTAACCTAGTTTCAGGGGAATAAGAGATTATTTCCTCTCAAAGAGCAGTTTCTCCCTCTCAAAGAGCTGGCAAGCTACCAAGAGTATCCCTCTTCCACAGCAGAGACTGGTAAGCTACTGTGATGTATTCAATGTGCCAAAAATAGTAAAAATAATGGATCTCATTCCCCTGACCCTGAAAGAGCCCCCAGTATGCCATTGGGCTACACTAGCACACAACAGGGACAATTGGAGGCATTACTGGCACCCCCTCGAGCAAATCAATGAACAACGGGACAAGTGATACAAATGATGCAGGTGTTACAAGTGATATTTTACGTAGTCACCCCATAGAAGATAAGTGGATTGCACACTGCCGAAAGGGAGAAAGAGAGTCTACACCCTAAAGCTGCCACCGAGTTGGAAAGGCTACTCCAGCTGTACCTTCCAGATAAAAATACTGAACTCCCTAAACAAATACGATTACTACTCAGTAACAGTATTGCAAACCATAATGCATGAAAGGAGAGAGAGAGAGAGGAGAGAGAGAAGAAAAGTGTCTGATATATGATATAGAGACAGACTTGGTGGGGGGGGAAGGTTTGGGATAGTGGGAGGGAAACTTGGGATACAGGTGGTAGGAAATGTACACTGGTGGAGAGATAGGTATTGGAACATTATATGACTGAATCACAGTCACGGACATCTTTGTAGTGGTCTATCTCATGGTGATTCAATACAAAATAAATTTTAAAAAAATAAAATGTGACAACCTGGCAGGCTACCGAATGTAACCTGCCCACACTGCAGAGTCTGGCAAACTCCCTGTGGCATACCCAATATGCCAAATACCAGTAACAATGATGGGTCTCATTTTCCTAACCCTGGTAAAGGTAAAGGTAAAGGCCCTCCCGTTGATCGTTGATTTGCTCGAGCGGGCCCAGTAACGTCTCCATTGGAGACTTTGTTGTTACTGTGTTTGGCATATCGAATAAGAGCCTTAAATATGGCACTTTTTAAAATCTCAGGGCTAGGACGAAAGAGATGTTACTGGTGCCTGCTCAAGGCAATCGATGAACAACAGGATGATCGTGATCGTGATCGTGAAATAAAATGTGAAAAAACAAAAATAAAAGAGAAAGAGCAAGAGAGTGAGTGTGTGTGTAAGTATGTGTGTGTGTGTGTGTGAGAGAGAGAGAGAGAGAGCGAGAGAGAGAGAGCAATAATACCTGCCATTGAGGCAGGGTGGGGGGAAGGCTTAGCTAAAGAGAAACTGAGAACATTGGTGGTCAGAAATGCACACCAGTGAAGGGATGGGTGTTGGAATATTGTATGACAGAAACCTAATCATGAATGACTTTATAATTGTATCTCATGGTGATTTAATTAAAAACTAAATTTCTTTAATTTTAAAAAGAAGGGGCTGGAGCAATAGCACAGCAGTAGGGTATTTGCCTTGCACGAGGCCAGCCCGGCCGAGCCAGGTTCGATTCCTCTGCCCCTCTGGGATACTCTGAGAGTATCTCGCCCGCATGGCAGAGCCTGGCAAGCTACCCATGGCATATTCAGTATGCTAAACACAGTAACAATAAGTCTCACAATGGAGATGTTACTGGACCCGCTCAAGCAAATCGATGAATAACGGGAGGACAGTGGACAGTGCTAAGAGATTATGTAAATAAATTGCTTTTATACCTCAGTATAAATATATTGTGTTTTGTGATTAAATATATTCACAGTTGTGATGCTTAGGAGATATT